TGGCCCAGGGCTGCTGGGAGCAAGGGGCGGGGCTTCTTGCATGTGCCCGCCCCCTGGGCTCTTTACTGCCGGAACTCTGCTCCTGTGCGCTCCTGCAGGAAATGACCCCTGGATATGACTGACTCTCTGTAACGGGCACCTTGTCACATGCATTTTGCATTTCCTTTGTTCCTGTTGCTCCTCTGCGGGCTTTTCCCAGGCCCACATGCACCTCTGACTTTGTGGAAGTACACAGAAGGGCTAGGATCTGTAAGCTTGTAAACAGAGGATCAAAAAACTCTCAGACATGGATTCTGGCAGCCTGTTTCCAAGGCAGCCAAAATGGCGGGTGAAGTCTTGTGAGAGGAAGTCATATCATGAGACTTCTAGAAGCCTTCTAAGGCAGGGGTCCCCAGTCTTTTTAACCCTGCGGGCACCTTTGTAATTCTGACATAGTGAGGTAGGCACAGCCATAAAATGGCCACCACAGTGGACCCAGCCCCAAAATGGCTGCCACAGCTTACATTCTGTCACAGAGTGAAAATCCTTGCGCTGTGGTAGCAGCTTCTCAAAAAAACAGAGAACCACGGCTGCAGATAAACAATAAGAAAGAGTGGAGGCGAGGTCCCTGCTTGAGCTTCAGCTGACAAATCCACCATCAGGGAAGACCCCTGGCTCGATCCACCAAGGGTGCGTTGCCGCCAAAGGGCAAGGTTACGGGGTGGGCCTGAGGCCACCCCAGAAGAATAATGCTCAGGTTCAACAAGCCACAGAAGGACGACGGGCCCAGGTGTCCCAAGGCGAAGTGGGCGCTCTGACAACCCGACCAGCAAGAGGTGCACCTGTAGTGAAAGGAGGCCGGGGGGGACAGCGCCGTGGTCCTGACCACATTACTGAAGGTTGGGTGGCCTGGAGAGGGGGCGGACGACCTGTGGGACCGATAGCGGATCTGCTATAGGCTGGAGAGACTGCTGAAGGAAATAAAGAGGAGCAAAATGCATAACACCAGGGAGGATGTGGTTGGAACAGAGTGAAGGCGGGTATGAGCTGTGAGTGAGGCCAGGTCAGAGGGCGGCACCCTGGATCCAGAGGTGTTCCAGAGAGAAAGAGGGGTACAGGCCCGACTTGGACCCAAACACTCAACCCCAAACTCTGGGCTGACGAGGGATACCTCTGTGACATAACAGAGGGGGAACCCAGTGGTCTGAGGTCTCGCAGAAAACCCGTACCTTGCAATTTCCTGACGCTTGCCCTCTCCAACCTAAAACGCCGGACTTGACGCTCAATTCGTGACAAAGAGAAAACACAAAGCTATGTATAGATGCTAAAGTAGTCATGAATTGTGTCCAAATAGTGTAATATATGGCAATAACAACACAATATGAATCAATGTAAGGTAAAGGTAAAGGTTCCCTTGCTCGAAAGCCAGTCGAATCCGACTCTAGGGTTGCGGTGCTCATCTCCGTTTCAAAGCCGAAGAGCCAGCGCTGTCCGAAGACGTTTCCGTGGTCATGTGGCCGGCATGACTAAACACCAAGGTGCACGGAACGCTGTTCCCTTCCCACCAAAGTGGTCCCTATTTATCTACTTGCAATTTATTGCTTTCGAACTGCTAGGTGGGCAGGAGCTGGAACTAGAGACGGGAGCTCACTCCATCATGCGGCACACTCGGGTCTCAAACTGCTGAACTACCGACCTTCCACAGCCTGCAGTTCAGCGTCTTATCCACTTGAGCCACCGCAGTGCAAAGTACTATATAACAATATTGAGGCTACATTCTTACTTGTCTTTGAAATATAGTGAACAGGATGGCTTGCCCTTAGCACTTTGATACGCTCTGCAGACTTCCATAAGAACTGTTGTTTTTTTCTTGAAGATTGTTGATTTGTTAACTGTATACGGCCTCACTCTACAAATGCCAAAAACGATTCTTGCAGTTTGAAGTTATACATCGGTCCTATTCAGAAGAAGACTTGCAAAATGGATTCTTTGTCTGGAAATTTTGTCACTCTCTTGTTTCGGACCTCTGTTTCGGACCTTATTGTTATATAGTCCTTTGTACCTTTTTAACCACTTGAGCCACCACAGTACAAAGTACTATATAACAATATTGAGGCTACATTCTTACTTGTCTTTGAAATATAGTGAACATGATGGCTTGCCCTTAGTACTTTGATACACTCTGCAGACTTCCATAAGAATTGTTGTTTTGTTTCTGAAGTTTGTTATTTGTTAACTGTATACCGCCTCACTCTACAAATGCAGCGTTCCGTGCGCCTTGGTGTTTAGTCACGCCGGCCACAAGACCACGGAAATGTCTTCGGACAGTGCTGGCTCTTCGGCTTTGAAACGGAGATGAGCACCGCAACCCTAAAGTCGGACTCGACTGGCTTTCCAGCGAGGGAACCTTTACCTTTCATTGATTCATATTGTCACACAGTACACTATTTGGACACAATCTGTGAGTTTACTTTAGCGTCTATACATACCTCTCCAAGTAGCAGCTGCTGCCAAAGCAATGTTTTTTTAAAAAAATCTGCACAAGCAATCGTCTTTCCAGTGGTCAGTCAGAAGCCTTGCTGGGCAAAGGTTCCACTTGTCTTCACCCACTTTCTAAAAACATTTGGTTGCCACCAGCAATGGTGTTGGTGGGCACCACGGTGCCCCCAGGGAGCACTTTCGGGACCTCCGCTGTAGGGCACGCACAGCTTGCCGCACTCTTTTTAAAGAGTGTGAAGGCAGCAAAGAAGTAAGGATGGTTATCTTCTCTCGAGTGTCAGGAGACGACATTCTTGGTTAGGCGTGAACACGGTTGCCACTGGGCCCCCCACAACGGTATGACTGGGCAACGAATCAGACTCTGCGAACTTACCAGTCGTCAGCAGTACGCAGAAGAAGCAGAAGATCAGTAGTACCCGCATGGTCTCAGGAAACACGCAAGAGAGGGAGAGAGAGACTGAAGTGGGGGAGTTAGCAGATGTAGGTCTAGATTTAAGTGCAAGGGATTTATAGCTTCTGGGTTGGAAAAACGCAGGAGGGTGGGGGAGACCAGGAGGATGGGGTGTGCGGAATAGTTCCTTCTGACTTCGGGGAGGTTCAGTCGAGGAGCGGAACGGACATCTGTCCTGAGGTTGCTGACCATGACGACATGGAGCAGGAACTGGAGATGTTGGCTCAGGCCTCTGGAACAAAAGCCAGAAGGCCCAGGAGGGAAGGAGCGCTTCACGAGACCGGTCCTTTTCACTTGATCTATTATGAGCAGTGCATTTTGCATTTTCAATAGTTGTGAAGATCAGTTGGCGAAAGGTTGATTTGTGAAGGTTAGCAATTGAACTGGCAGCTACTGAAAAGTTTTATATATAGAAATACACACAGAGAGACATACACACACATTGTGTGTGTATATTAGGGTTGCCAAGTGTGATTTTCACCGCAGCGGGGGACTCCCGGCTGGCGGCTGTAGCGCACGTGCGTGAAGCGTGCGTGCGCCGCATCCACGTCACCCAGAAGTGACGCGACCACGCCGGGCGCGCTGGGGGTGGGGCCACGACCATACGAAGGAAAACAATAGAGTTTTCCCTCGGATGCCCGTGGCCCTGCCCCCAGCATGCCCAGCGTGGTTGCGTCACTTCCGGGTGACGTGCACGTCGAGGTGGGGTTCCCCCCGGGGCCCGATCCGCTGGTGGCAGGGAACGGGCCTCTAGGGCGAGGGTTTACCCGCCCCCCGGGGGGACTTGGCAAGCTGTGTGTGTGTGTGTGTGTGTGAACAGCCTGATGTCATCAGATCTCAGAAGCTAAGCTGGGTCAGCCTGATTAGTACTTGGATGGGAGACCATCCAAGGGTTGCAATACAGAGGCAGCCAATGGCAAACTACCTCTGTTTGTTTCTTGCTGTGAAAACCATACAAATAAGTCAGCTAGGACTAAAAAGCTATTCCCAGTCACCCTTACAGAGTTGCTTCCATCATCAGGGCAAACATAACAAGTCATTCCTCTAGTTACTGTAAACATGGCACAATCCTGGCTGTTTGACTGTCATTAGTTTTGGAAACAGGTGTTTTGCAAAGGAATAAAATTCCCTGGCATTGTCTGGCCACTCATTTTTGTAACGTAGTCTCCCCAAAAGCAGGGCTGATGGTCTCAGCTTAGGTTTCAGGGGGGAGGGTGTCTGTCGTAGTGTAGCCAATCCTAATGAGTGTCTGCTGTTGGGTGTGGCCTGTTATGCTAATGAGTTCCTGATGGGCGTGGCCAATTTGGGAGCCAGCCGGAACTTCATTCCTGTGCGTTCCTGCCCAAAAATAGCCCTGGCCAACACTCTTAACCACTACACCATACTATAGTTGTTTAGAGTTAGACTAGGGCTGGTGAGACCTAGGTTTAAACCCCCATTGACCCATGAAGCTCATGAGGTGACCTTGGGACAGACAAACACTCTCAGCCCAGCCTACCTCACAAGGTTGTGGTGGTGAGGATAAAAAGGAAGAATAGGATAAACATCTACATTGCCCTCAGGGAAGGATCGATTGCAGGTTCAACAGGGAGCTCTTCCCCAGCAAGGTCAGGATGTGGGGACCACCCATTTTGTCCCACAGCCCTTTGAAACGATGCAAAGCCAGAGTGGTGAAGTTGTTACACTGTTCGGCTGTGTCTGGAGAGACCCAGGTTCAAATCCCTGCTTGCCAACTGTTGAGGAGAATAACATCCTGCCTCTCTAATAGAGATTTAACGTGTGGAATTGGGAGGCTGAAGTTTTTCATGGCATGTCTCCTAGTATCAGATCAGATCAGAACTGATAGTAAAGGGACAGTTAGAGGGACCAGTTGAGAGTTGGCAACTCTAGGAGGAAGGGTGAGATAAAAAAATGAACCCGATACATTATGTTTGGGAGGGTTTAGCCAGGGCTCTTTTTGTAGAAAAAGCCCAGCAGGAACTCATTAGCATAATAGGCCACACCCAACAGCAGGAACTCATTAGCATATTAGTCCACACCCCTGGCTGCACCGCTCATTAGCTCATTAGCACATTAGGCCGCACCCCCATGTTACCAGAAGTGTGGTCATCCAGCCACACCCACCTTTCCCTTCTTATTCTTATTCTGTTTACCTTGTTTGTTGTCAAAACCCGGGGCCTTTTTTTGTAGCAGGGACTCCTTTGCATGTTAGGCCACACACCCCTAATGTAGCCAATCCTAATGAATTTCTGCTGTTGGGTGTGGCCTATTATGCTAATGAGTTCCTGCTGGGCGTGGCCAACTCGAGAGCCAGCCGGAACTCCGTTCCTGTGCGTTCCTGCCCAAAAATAGCCCTGGGTTTAGCAGAGATCATCTGCCGAATGGTGTGAGTGTATTGTAGATTTTACAATAGGACTTAGGACTGAAAGTGACCATCTTCCTATTCTGTTGTCCTTTCGATCTAAATATG